TCCAGCATCCTCACATCCAGCCACTCACCTTGTATGAATCCAGACATTTCCTAGAACACCTGATGCCTCTTCAGCCAAGACCAGGAAGAGCTGGAGGCCCGTGACCACGCACAGTGAAGGAATGAAGGGTGTTTTGACACACCTGTGTCTTTCCTTTTCATGCTTCGGTGTCACTTCTGCGTACAGAAGTGGAACAATTCTGAATGTCTTGGATTACAAGAATCCCCAAAGCCTGTGCTTTCCAGAAGTCTCAGATTCGCTTTTTTCCACCTCCAGGCATCTAATAGGAGAGTTCCAAGTAGCTAATATTCTACTGGTAAAAAAACAAATTTAGCGGGAGTTATAATAAAATCATCACATTTCTAAATCCTTAACCCATGGAGAAGGAGTTTAATTCCTAAAGGCATTCACTGTTCACTTTTCCAGGAATACTTACGAGGTAATCGTTTATCAAAACAAAAGGTAGCTGCTTCCTTTCTCTTCACTTAAGAAAATAAGTGAACCACACTTCATACACTGCAAAGATTTTGTTTCCAAGCAGGACAGCTCGGAGAAGTCTGGGAAGCTTGTGAACCAGGGAGCGGGACATTCCTATTGTGAGGCTTCAACAGGAAGTTTGCCGTGTTGGGCTCTTAACCTTAAATGCTCATGACAAGCCCATGAGGAGGTATCGCTAACTCAGATCTACAGGTGAGGCAGTGGAGGCTCAGAGATGACTCACTCAGCTTTGCAGAGGTCACATGACCCACATTTAGAGGAGCTGAGATTCAAGTGCAGTCCTGTGCAGTCTCCAGGGTTAAAGCAACCCCTGTGCCCCCACCAGCTGCCCTTAAGGTCAAGCAGTGATGAAACTGACAACACTCCTTGATCCTTTGCCAACATCAGAGATTATGACTTTTCTATATTTATGTATTTATATATATATATCAGTATAAGTTGAACATTCAGAAATGAATCTGTAAAAATTACACTTGTTCTCCATCCTGGCAAATCCTCAGAATCATGGCAGAGCTATGGTAAAAGAGCTGCCTGGCCTTGGGCAAGTCACACCAACTGTCAACCGTGGCTTTGTCATCTGCACGATTAAGATAATAATCACTGGGCTGCTGGGAGGATCAAACAAAAGAATAGATGTATAAATGCTTAGCACCTTGTAGGTGCTTCATAGTTGTATATCCTTTGTTTCCTGCAATAAGTGCTATTGAATAAATGATAAGTTAACTGTAATGCATCTATTGAACATAACCCTTGTGTTTGGTGCTAAAATGAGTCTGCATTTAATCCCCTCCCCCAAATCCTGGGGGGTAGACAACACTTATTGTTTACATAAGAGGAAACTGAGGCTCAGAGAGGGTAAATGATTTGCCCAAAGTTATGCAGGAAGTAGTAGGGGTGGGATTTGAATTCAGGCACACTGAATTTAGAGGTCAAACTTTTACCCATCTTGCTATCCTTCCTCCAGGAAATGAGGATGAATAGACATTTCACGTGACAAAAGCTGAATGTGATGACTTGCCTTTGGCTCTCTTGATCCCCATCTCAGACTCCTTCTGGGGAAATGAAAGCTGTTTGTGTGAACTCCCTACTCTGTCAAGGACACTATACTCAGAAAGCTTCATCGATTTCTTTTACTATATGGGTACAATTTTGCCTGCTCCTTGTGAACCCTCAAAAGCAAGCCTGGTGAGGTCACCAAAGCAACTGCAGATGTGATGTTCCCTAGGCTCTTTTGTACCTGATTTCTTCCCGAAGAGGCCCTTTGCCCCCCAGCCAGAGGGTGGTGAGAGGAGTGAAAACTCTACCAGGCCTGTGCCTCCACTGGCCTTCCCTTCATTATTTATTTTCTTCTTTATTTGCACTCCTTCCAAAAAGGATTTCAGGTGGAATGTTATCAAAGATAACCAGCAAAATATCTAGGTACCCACAGCCCCACAGAATAAAGGGAATCAATCCCACTGATGTCTTGGGCTTCTCCAGTGAAGAGGCTTCCAGAAGGAGGTGATATGCGAGGACCTTACACCAGCAGAAATAGCAGAACGTCAAGGACTGGTGCCACGGGGCTCACCCCATGGCCCCCTACACAAAACCACTTTCTCCGTGTTCCTCTCTGCATCTTTAAGAGCAGGGTGAGAAGGGTGAGAAGGGGAAGGGGAAGAGGCCTCCTCCTGGATGCCATTTCTTATTATCGAGAAGTAGATTCCTCCATCCTCAATTCTGGACTGCCTGCCTTGCTGAAAACAAAAAGAACCCACATGTTATGGGCTGCTGTCAGGATGGGTGGTTCTGCAGGACTGAGGGTAGGATTAGGCAGGGGCAGTACCTGAGAAGTGCAGATAGGCCACAAGTGCTGTCTGGGGCTCAGGGAAGCCTGCCATGGCAGCAGTCAGGTCAGGGGTCTGAGGCTCCCCAGATCCACCAGGCAAATATTCCCTGCGCTCTGACCTCAGCGCAGAGGGATCAAAAATAAGCATCACAATCCCTGCCTTTGAGGAGCTCCCAGTTGCTAGGGGAGGCAAGCATACAAATTAATCCCACAGGATCATTCACACTTTCTACCAGTATCGAGTGAGCATCTAACTCCATGCCAGCCACTGGGCACAGGGTGTGATGGGGATTCAGAGTAACCATGAAGCTTAGAGTCTAGTGCTGTGTCTAATGCTGAGGATGCCATGGAGCACAGACGAGCATATCTACCAAGACGAGAAATTCGGAAAGGTTGCGTGCAGTTAACAAGACAGAAGGGGATAAGAAGGGAGCTCTGTATAGAGGAAACATCATGATCAAATGCACAGAGGCATGAAACAGTGGACCTAAGACACAAGGCTGGCTGTGTGTGGACTGCTTCTTACAGCTCTGTGACCTTCAGATGCACCTGACAAAAAGCCCTCCTGTTCTCCAGCGGTTCATTTTAATTGAACTTGGGGCCTCTGGAACATGATTTAGAGCAGCTCCATGATCTCATCCTCCAGAAGGTGATGGGCTAGTCCAGACACAGCTCCTCGGGGCTGTGAGGAAAAGCATGCAATTAGGTCCATTCTCTTTCACACGAAGTCCCTCCCATCCAAATATCATCCAGTGGTAAGTTCCTGGTGACCAACCTCACTGGGTGCAGTCTCTGCTCATGGCCTGCCCTGAGAAAACCCCAAAGGGGTGGCTGGCTGACGTGGGGGTTCAGACCTAAACCCAGATTCCATGGTTATCTGGAACATGGCAGGGTTGCTATGCAGGGAACACTGTCTCCTAGGACTGAACATCTCCTTCCTCTCTTAGAACAACACTGATTGAAGTCCTACCGCATGCCATGCACACACGGAGGCCCTCAGTTCTCACCCCAACATTGTAAGGTCCCTCTTTTATTGATGAGGTGCCTGAGGCTTGGAGACCTTCATTAACCTGCCCAAGAACTTCCTGACCAGACAGAGTCAAGCCAAGATTGCTGGGCATCTGCTTCAAACCCGCTTCACTGAGGCTTCCCACTCACATTTATACTTGACATGCAGACCTCAGCTCAGACAGGAACTCGCTCCATCTAAACAGCCCCTCTCTGTCACCACTTTTCCTTTTCGAGGCTCACCCTCTCAGATAGGACAGCACAGGCTGCCCCCCAAGCCACCCCCACCCCCGTGCCAGCTCTGCAAGGCAGGAACCTTTCCCGCCTCCTTCACTGCTGTATCCTCGATGCTCCGAACAGAGCCTTGCACATGGAAACCCTGAGCACATGGCTGCTCAGTGGACAAAGGCATCTGGCCCCTGCACTGGAATTGCTCAAGATGGCAGCCAGTGGCCCACTGGGCGCTTGCAAAGAACACGGACCCACAAAAGCCAGACTTTCTCCGTTTCTCATAGGCGAGAGCAAGCAATTTCATAGATTTTTATTTCTGCTTCAGCAAAAGGATAACCTCCTAGCAAGGTTCTATGTGACAAACATTTGGGATTCATCAACTGCTAGTATCCATACGTCACATTCCTTGATTCTACCCAGCAGTCTGACTGAGGGCTGCACAGACCTCTCAGATGTGCGTCCTCACAGAGCATGGGGCGCTCGCTGCTGTCAGCAAGCTCTGTGACCGGTCACGATGAGCGTTGCCATGACTCTCCCCTGCTTTTCAACTGCTGCTGTGGTTATTCCAGTCAATCCATGTGTACACGCCCTCTTGGCGTTTATTTTCATTGACTGCTCTATTTTGTGTGGTGCCATTTTGATTGTGGTTTTGTTCCTCTTCAACGCTTTATCATCTCCAAATTATTTTTCCACTAAAAAAAAGAAGTGATGAACCCATCGGCCCTACTTAAATGGGTCACAGTCCTGAATGCTTGAGAAACAATCCCGCGCCCCACCTCATGACCCCAAGTAACCCTGAACTGCCATGTTCTCTTGTTTTGCGACAGAATGTACGCGTTCCTAAAAATCACTCCACTGGGCAAAATGGGGGAAATGGGGCGAGCGGCATAACACTCAAAAGTGTCATCAGTGATACATAAGAAAGAGAGAAAGGAAAATAATTAGCACGGTTTTACACAGGTTAAATGGTTAAGAAATAGAGAAGTCCTACAGTGAATCTGGCACCTCACCTTGAAGAGACCGGGTGTTTGCCCATAGCAGAGGACGGGGGAGGGCTGCAGCTGGGGCAGTACTGTGATGGGGGGCTGGCAGGCTGGCAGGGGTGTTTTCTGAATGGAAGGCACTCTGTCACTGCGGGGGCAGGTGGATGTGGCTCATAACATACAGCGGACTGCGTGGCGGCTAGATTTTGAGGTGTGTACACATGCGTGTTTTGTATCTTCCTACCTGGATCAGCTCCGTTGGATGCTGTTTTCTCTCTTCCCCTAGTGTTTCTCAGGAAGGAAATCTTGCATAAGCAAATTGTGAAATTCCCCTTATCCTCAAAACGTTCCCCAATATATCAATTATGTTGGAACAGATGCACATTTTCAGAACAAGTGTTATGGCAGAACTGGCCAATCCCTGATTGACTTTCATCTTTTCCTTGTTGATGCAGACTGGACCAAGAGGATTGAGTATCAGCCTGGCTCAGGGAGTGTGCCGCTTTTCCCCAGCATCCACCTGGAGACGTGCGACGGGGCCGTGTCCTCCATCCAAATCACCACGGAGCTGCAAACCAATTACATCGGGAAGGGCTGCGACCGGGAGACCTACTCTGAGAGATCCCTTCAGAAATTATGCGGTAGGTTTCTCCCTGTTGGGATTGTTTTTTAATTAATTGCTTTTAAATGATTCATACAAAGCGTATCTTATATTAGGAAAGAATGAGTCCCTCCCAACCTCATCGGCATCTGTAACTCCTGGGTGAATATTGAGTTTACTTATTATGGTTAAAGAGTCAGAGCTAGGAAACAAGGCCCAGAGAGGTGCTACACAAGGAAACAGCTTCACGAAGCACCAACTGGGTGCACCTGCCATACTCTTCACATGCATCACTTTGTTTAACTCTCTCATCTTCATTGTCAGGAGGCTATTACTCATCCCATTTTAAAGATGGAAAATTTGAGGCCCAGAGAGGAAAAAATGGCTGGTTCTAGACCCTATTAGAAGGTGGCAGAGTTGAAGGCACTTCTACCTGAATGCAGGCAGTTGAGCTCAGCAGCTGTGAAGGCAGGCCAGGCCGGGGCAGCTAGAATGTCAGTCTCTCGAGTCAGCCTGCAGAGTGCTCCACATACTGGGAATGGTCCCCTGTGCATGGCAAGCCAGACCGTTGAGGTGTCGATGGGCCTTGGGGTGAGGTGGACCACATACGTTTCATTGCTTTCTCATTCTCTCCAAGAGTATTCAGGAGCTCACATCTAGGTCCCCAGCTATGCTGTGGGGAGCTTCGAAAAGAGCTTACTCTTTGACTAGACCTGTATTTGGGGGTAACTCCATCTCCACAAAAGGAAAAGGAGCCTCTTGAACACAGTGCAGTTCCTGAGCACCATCCACTCCTGGTGGGCCCTCCACGACTATGGCTGGGGCAGTTTTCCGCCCTCACCATTGCTGTGCACATGCATATGCACACACACACACACACACACACACACCCCTTCACCCACACTGCTCTTGCCCAAAGAATCAGGTGAAAATTTTAGAAGTAAATGTGCGCGTGTCCCATTTGTCATGTCACCAGGCTGTCAGAAAGGCCTGTGGGGACACAGGCTTCTCCAAAGATATGCAGTAGGTTGGGGAGAACACCACAACTTCAGGACTCCAGACAGCCCCCGCAAAAATGGATGCCAGGGGCCTCCAGCACTCTCCTTCATTCGTGTGCAAGAAGCCATCTCCGACGACATCTTACTGTGAATGAACATGCCATTTCGCTCCCCGTGTACCTGGATTATAAGTCAACTCGACCCCGCACCACCGTGGGTTACAGTCATTTCCTAAACTCCTCCGGGTGAGAAGGAGATGATGGAATCAGGTTGTTAAAGATCAGATGGGCCCAAGGGCACACACTTGTGATTTGATTTTGAATGTTGCTGGGGAGAGATGAGGAGATAGGGAGAGGGAGAAGGATTTCTTCTGAGGGAAGAAACTTTAGAGCAAAATTGCATCTGGTTGTTAACACCGCTCATTCCTTCTGGGCTGCAGGCGTCACCTTGCAGGAAGGCAGGTAATTCAGTGAGGAAAGCAGCTTTCCCCCAAGAGGTGAGCTTACCTCTTGGTTCCAGGAGACACCCTTTACAGGGAGGGGGGTCTCTGTGTCTTTCTGGTGACATTCCTGGTAGGAGTGCCCACCGCACTGTGGGGACCCTATCCGAGTAAGCTGACAGGCAGGGCCCCTCCTGCCTCCTTGTCAGGAGTCTGAATCTTGAATTCCATGGAGGGAGAGAGCTCAGGAAAAAAGGGTGGAAGCAAATGAATGGAACCCAGATGCGCATCCGGTGCTGGAGTGGGCTTCAGAAGGAGGCGGCCCATCAGGTCCGTGCTCCCTCTGCAAGGGAGATGCAGGCTGGATGGCTTCCAGAACAGAGTCTGGGTTATAATTCCTGATCCTGTGGGGCGGCTTAGGTTCAGGACAAGCTTCCATGTTTTTTCAGCGGATGGTAGACAAGTTGCTCGCAGGCTTTCCCAACTAGGGAATGGCCATAACACTTTCAGCATCGGCAACCGGGCATTTTTCATCTTCCAAATCTTTATTGACTTTGGATGGAAACAGGGAGACCAATTAGGATGTTATTGCCATGGTCTAAGCAAGACATAATGAGTTCTGAACCAGGGGAGTGGCAGTAGAAATGCATTTAAGACAGCTTTAGGAGGCAAAATCAGCAAGCTAATCAATGATGGATTAGCTGTCAGGAGTGAGAAGGAAGGAATCTAAGATGACTCTAGTGTAAGCATCTAACTGGACAAGAATGCCACTGACCAGAAGTAGGAATCCAGGCACGTGCAGATTTAGGGACTACGAGGACTGGTGTCTGGGGAACATCCAGGTGTGGGTGTCCAACGCCTGCCTGACTCGGGACACTTCCGAGGACCTGCCTCCACCCTGCCAATCCATTGTTGTAGCCAGTTTCCTCCTGATGTTCTGCCTCTTCTTGGCCAGGACACCTCCTTTGTCCCTGTGCCTGGCTGGTTCTCATCCCTAAATCTTTGCTCATGGTTTCTTCCCACCAGAATCTCTCCCTGCTTTGCTGTTCCAAACCTTTCCCTTCAGCAGTATTCTCCTGGCCTTTGTACACCAGGGAGGCTATCCTGGGGGTGCTTCCTGGATGCCATTGAGTTCTGGTATCTCTTCTGTGATACCGTAGCTATGCGGTGACCCAGGCAGGGGTGTCTCTGTGGAGGGGCATTTTGCGTGTCTCGTCACTGCCCACCTGCTTCCTCTTCTTGCAACGCCGGCTCCATTAGGAGCAGACAAGAGCTAGTTCAAAGCCCATTGTCAGGAAGGACCTGACAGGTGCAGCAGCTTTTGGAAACAGCCTCTCTGGGCCCACACTGAGATGCCTGCATTCTGCCTTGAAACAAAAATAATGCAGGACCCTGAACCCATGCCCCCTGAGCTCGTAGAACATAGCCTCAGATGGTCTGCCACTAGCCTCACTCTACCTAAAGCCAGGTTTCTTGGAGAAGTTCGGCAAACTGCTTATCACTTCCTCTGAATTCAGAGATTCAAGATGAAGGGCTCTGTCCTCTCAGTCCCAGCCTTTCCAGAAGTGAAGTGTCACAGAATTGCCTTGAGTATGAAATGCCCCATGAAGCCCTGAGGAAGACCTCTTGGCCAAATTAAATTTGACATTACTGAGAGCCCCAGGAAGGGCATACTTCGATGCCCCTAAGTCACTACATATTACAGTAAATAGAAAAGCAGTCCGTGACGCACATGCCTTTCTGAGCGTGGAGGCCAGGGGCTGTCCCTCCTCGGGATCACAGGGCTCCTGGCAGCTGGCTCGCTGCTCCATATATGCCGCCCGGGGCAGCTCTTTTGTGTGTGGAGTCAGGAACTACAAGGGCAGGTCCTGTTGAAGAAAAGGCCACAGAACGAGAGCATACTATTATACCAAGTGGTTGATCTGTCAGAGCATTCCAGATCACCAGACATTAAGTTGTGCTCAGGATATATGCACTTGTGAGCCCTGGAGATTTTCATAGATGATTTGTTCATTCTTCATTCATTCATTCATGTATTTTCTGTGGAAGACATGTTTTTAAAAAAAGTTAAGAACTTGGTTTTCTACTAACCATGAAGCTTGACAGAGCTCATCCTCATTCCGAATCACAGTCAGAGGTGTTTGTACCCCTAGAATCGCTCAAGTCCTGGAAGCTATCAGCAGCTTCTCCAAGATGCCTCTGCAAGGCTGGAGCTTCCAGGCTTGAGTGTTGGTCCCCTAGACTCTTGGAGAGCAGAAAGGGGCCTATTGCTTTAAGGAAAATTGGCACATATCTATCAGGACTCAGATTAAATCCTTAATCATACATAAGCATGGGGCCGCACACACTGACTCATGGAGGACGGTAGGTAGGGAGCTTCTCAGTGGATATGCTGATTCCCTGGTGTCCTCTGAGTAGCTGCCTTATGGCGTGACTTCCCATGTTGGGTAGAAGCCTTGCCCATGCTGGTCAGCAACTGGGTACCCATGGCCCTGCTCCAGGAGCCTGGCTGACCACCCCTACACCAGAGCCCAGCTGCTCTACATGGAGACCCAAGTTCCCCATTGCAAGACCTTGCAGGAACCCTTGTCTAGGATTCCAAAGGTAGGTCAACAGTGTGTGAGCTCCTGAAAGGATGTTAGAAGGTCCTCCCTGTCCATGATGAAGGCATGCCAAAGAAGAAATGGGAATCATAGCCTCTGATATCAGTCACTTACGTGGATTATCAGGATAGCAGGTGACGCTGCAGTCACAAATGACCCTAACATCTCACTGGCTCAAAGTAACAAAGGTTTATTGATCATTCCTACTGCATGTCCTTCTTGGATTGGCTATGGCTCTCTTCCATGTGGTTTCCCACTGGAATCTAGGCCAACAAAGAGCCTTTATTTTTTTTTAAATTTTATTTTATTATGTTAGTCACCATACATTACATCATTAGTTTTTGATGTAGTGTTCCATGATTCATTGTTTGCGTATAATACCCAGTTCTCCATGCAATACGTACCCTCCTTAATACCCATCACTGGGCTAACCCATCCCCCCACCCCCTCCCCTCTAGAACCCTCAGTTTGTTTCTCAGAGTCCATAGTCTCTCATGGTTCGTCCTCCCCTCCTATTTCCCCCCCTTCATTTTTCCCTTCCTACTATCTTCTTTTTTTTTTTTTAACATATAATGTATTATTTGTTTCAGGGCTACAGGTCTGTGATTCATCAGCCTTACACAATACACAGCGCTCACCATAACACATACCTTCCTCAATGTCCATCACCCAGCCACCCCATCCCTCCCATCCCCCACCACTCCAGCAACCCTCAATTCATTTCCTGAGATTAAGAGTCTCTTATGGTTTGTCTCCCTCTCTGGTTTCATCTTGTTTCATTTTTTCCTCCCTTCCCCTATGCTCCTCTATCTTTTCTCTTAAATTCTTCATATCAGTGAGATCATATGATACTTGTCTTTCTCTGATTGACTTATTTTGCTTAGCATAATACCCTCTAGTTCCATCCACATCATTGCAAATGGCAAGATTTCATTTTTTGTTTTTTGATGGCAGCATAATATTCCATTATGTATTTTTATATGTGTGTGTGTGTATATAT